GGTCAAGCGGGACACTGCAATAGCTTACAATAATTATACACGAGATGTTGAAAATAATATTGTAGCTGATCCGAAGGCATTTTGGAATTTTATTGGTAGCAAAAGGGATAACTTTAACCAGAGTCAGTTTTGTTCCGACGGAGTTCCTCTTGCTTCTAGCGAAGATATCGCATCTGCTTTTGCAAATCATTTTAAGTCCGTTTATGGTTCAACGTCGAATTATTCTCTTTCGTTCTATGATGACATTATCAACAATAACTCATTCGATTTGTTCAACTTGGAATCCTTCTCAATGAATGAAATTGGTGATGCCATAAATAAGCTTAAATCTAAACGTACAGAGGGACCAGATGGTATTCCCTCTTACATTGTGAAGGGCTGCAAAGACGCCTTTGTAATGCCATTATACATAATTTTTAATTTATCACTTGTGACGAATACATTTCCAAATGTTTGGAAGGTCGCAAGAGTGACTCCGATTCACAAATCTGGCCCCTCTGGTGATGTAGGAAATTATAGACCTATATCGGTAATCTCCTGTTTTGCTAAACTTTTCGAACAATTGATTTATCGCAGGATTTTCAATCAAGTAAAACTTTCGTTGAATGTTAATCAGCATGGATTTATTCCTGGTCGCTCTGTGGAGACCAACTTAACTATCTTTACGGATTACGTTTCCAAAGCATTGGATGCTAGAGCTCAAGTGGATGTTATCTACACGGATTTTGCAAAAGCATTCGATAGGGTGGATCATGATACGCTTCTGCACAAGCTGGCACAACACGGGTTTTCTTATTCTACTCTTAGTTTTTTTGTTTCATATTTGTCCAACAGATTTTATTACGTCTCTTATAAAAACGCAGTATCAGATATGTTGGGGATTGATTCAGGGGTTCCGCAGGGTAGTAATCTGGGACCTTTGTTATTTTTGTTATTTATAAATGATTTGCCCCTGGTAATTAACTCAACCAGATGCTTACTCTTTGCGGACGATCTGAAGATATTCACAACTGTACACGACTTAACTGACTGCCGGTCCTTACAGTCTGATTTAGATAACGTATTTAATTGGTGTCGGCTCAACAAGCTCCATTTTAATGTGTCTAAATGTGAGTCAATGACGTATACATTGAGGAAGAGGCCGATAGAATTTGTATATAAAATAAATAATGTGAATTTGAGGTGTGTTGTTAAAAAGAGAGACTTGGGTGTGTTGTTTTCGCCTGGTTTATGCTTTGCTGAACATATTAAAGCCACAGCAACCACAGCTTTGCGTCTCTTAGGATTTGTCATTAGAAATGGGTACAGTTTCTCAAACTTACAGACGCTGCAATTACTGTTCAATTCTTTAGTGCGATCTAAGCTGGAATATGCGGTAATAGTATGGGATCCCGGGTCAATTCTTTATTCTAATTTAATAGAAACTATTCAAAATAAATTCATTAGGTATCTCTACTACAAAAAATTCCGTGTTTTCATTGGTTTTAGATCGTACGAATTTGCACGCAAATTATTTAAGATCACCAGGTTGTCTCTCAGAAGAAAAATTATATCACTCTGTTTTCTACATAAAATGTTGAATAATAGTATAAATGCTACATTAATATTAGAAAATATTGGTTTCTATGCGCCTGCATATTGTGGTAGGCTAAAGAATCTTTTCTATATTCCTCGGTTTTCAACTGAACTGAGACGAAATTCTCCTCTTATTAGAATCCTTTCACTGCACAACACACTGGCGGCTTCTTCCTTCATACCTCTGTTTGGCATTAGTATTACATCGTTTAAACAACATTTGACACCTTTGATAAGTGCTGCAGCCACCCAGTAGCCAAACTTGATTTTTGTCATTGAATTCTGTAATTTGTGATGTAATTCTGTTCATTTTTTAAAGTTTTGGTTCAACATATCCTCCGCGCGTTCTGTCATGGGTTAATTAACATTTATGCTTGATCTTGGTTGTTTTGCTTGTTTTTATTGGTTATATTATGTAGTAGTAGACTTAAGTTCTGAAATTTGTGATTAGGGGCAACCCTGTAATTTCGGAAGTAAAATAAAATAAAATAAAATGTTGTGACGTTGTTGGAAACGCCATAGCCATCCTGAAGAACATTCACAATTTTCAATTCCATATGTCGCGGCAATTTTCTTAGCTTTATCTCGTAATATTGGTCCTGAAAGCGCTATGTTAGAAGCTCTCATATGATTAAACCATTCCAATACATAATTCATATTCCAGGTCTTCATATTTTGCAGTTCTTATTTGCTTGTTCACGTTTCTTAATGATTGTAGAAAAAGTCGATTTAGGAATTTCGAACTTTTTTGCTATTTCTGTTTTAGTTAACTCAGAATTATCTACTTCATCCAAAATCATTTTCTTTGTTTTAATATCAATTGCGTTCTTTCTTTTTTTGTTATGCTTTGACGACATTTTGTGTTAAGATTTAAAAACTATTCTATTGAACAATTTATAAAAGACCAAAACATGTTTAAACGTGTTCGTGAATTCGCTATCGATCGTCTTTAGTGTGCGACTGTTTTCGATCCAGTTCGAATTATCCGAACGAAATTGTACGTTGGGATATAAAATCTAGTTCGCAGTTCGTATAAACGGAAATTTGTCTTAACCGAGCAAAAAGTAATACAATTTGGAAACAAATTGCTTGGGACCAGTACTTTGTTCGTGGTAACGAGGTTGTAGCGCATCACGCACTCTCATTATTTTTATATAGAAACATCATGTTATATCACCTGTATTTTCCCATGGCGATTTTGTTATAGTCATAAAATAATAAATAAACTGGTAGACACACATAAAACAGTCTATCAAATACTCCATTTTAATTTTTAATATTTTATTGTACGATTAATTAATATAGAGTTACAAATAAATATACTCTATAGAGGTGTTCGCGTTAACCGAGTTCGTTTAAACGAGGTTTTACTATATATTAAATTCGGGGAAGTACAAAAATATTTTGGGAGTGGGGACAGCGGATGAGGGACTCGCGAGAAGAGCAGAGAAAAAGAATATGACATTATAGGAACGTCTAATACAGTCATAGCATAACAGTTATTCTGTGATAGTGTAGAAATCCCTCATTTGCGCATAGGTACTACCGGCGGTTAGCGTTCCCCAAACAAATTGTCGCGAAGGGCTTTCCTTCTTTTGCTGTATGTACAATGAAGTATTTATCACATGCTGAACACTTTAATGTAAAAATAGATCGCAATCCAAAACGTTGTTCATGATGTGGTTTCAATAACCCAAATGTATATTGTTTTGCATGTTTGTACTGTATTTCTAATGTAGCTGTCAATAGAAAATTGATATTTACTATTCTATTTCCCTTCAATATAACTACGTCCTCTGTTTTGTCTTGTTCTACGTACAATTGGTGAGACATAATGCTAAAAACACATATTGAAAGCTTATACAACATTCTTTTAATGGTTTTATAATGATAAAGAAATCGGATCTTCCTTGAAAATTGAAAAAATTATGAATCTTTCAAGATATGTACAATTTGATCCAAATTTGTTGTCCACATAGACTATTCCTAAAACTATACCAATTAGAAAAAAGTAGCTAATAAGTCGCGATCTCTTATTTCGAACCTAAGACCGAAAACTTCAAATCCCTATCGATTATGCCTTAAAGGCAAAAATTGAAAATTTCATAAAACCAATAACTCTAATTATCTTGTTGTAATTGTATGTCGGGTATTATAATTTGGATATTGTACACGAACTTTTTGACCTTAGCTTATTCTAACCTGTATTATCTCATTCTTGTCAAAATGTTCAATGAAATGAAATTCAAATTGTACATATGCCCAAAGTATCAAAATTATTTTAATTTTTGGGATGGGATTGTTCCGTTGTGAGTGCTATTGAAATTCTTATATTTACCTGTCATACTCATTCTTTGGATACCATGGATGTATTTTATTATTATTATCATTTATTTTCTCAATGCCACAAATTGGCACTGAATCTACAACTACTGACCCTATTGGCTGTGCAGATTTTTCAATTGGTCTACAATAAAATTATTAGGTATTATTATTAGGATTGTCTCAACCGGAAAAAATAGACGGTTTCCAAGTACTTACCCTTCTGATAATTCTTTCCTTTTCTGCCAAATCTTTTTCCAAGCGGTAGATCTTTTAGAGCGTTTACAAACCTTACTTGGATGTTTTTTTACCATTTTTACTAAAATAATACTACACTATTGTAAAGTCACTGCCTTATAAATCACTATAATCATTAAAATTAATAGTACAGTTATCGTAATATTCTGCGTGCACGCGGAGATTCTAGTAGTACGACGTCAAAAGCCGAAAGACTAAATGATATTTTTGTTGAGGTTTCTTACAACGTAAAACTTATCTTTCTTCGTGATTAGTTTCATATCCTAAACGGAAACAAGCAAAAAAGTAAAGCACCTAGATAAACAAACGGAGCAATAAAATCAGGTATAATGACGGCGTCGAGCGCTTGTTTTACCCCGAAACAGTTTGCCCACATTTTATTTCCTCGCGTTCTCAAATATCATGAAATATTTTTTAAAAATTGTTAGGTGGAAATTATGTATTTACTATGAAGTATTTTATTTTATTAGTTTACCCTTCTGTTATCTAATTGTTGTCCGATAAACTGTTTTTAAGGAAAGGAAACGAGGTTTTCCAAAAAATATAAAAGACAAGACATAGTCATTAATTTTTTGTGAGCTTGAATTCATAAAAAAAAACAATTTTATCGATTTTCAAAAAATATATTTATTTAAATATAGTTAACTTAACATAGGCTACCAAACCATCATGCACAATATCGTCTATTTCTAAAGTCCCTAGATTTACAAAGTACCGCGGTTTGACGCCATTTTGGCTCGAAAGTCAAGCAGAAAATTTAAAACTACAAACCAAAACATTACGCCAAAAGTCCTTCTTTTTTCTCGTGGTACTCTTAAGAGTCGAAAGTCCTTCTTACTGCTATTTTTGCAACACCAAAGGCAACAAGACGGCAATATTTTTGTAAATAAGTGGTGAAATGTAGTGCGCGAAACAGGCGTCATGAATCCGGTTGTTAAAAGTTTGAATTTTCTTTTGATGGTGCGCAAACGCAAACCATTTTTTCGAGTTAGTCTCATTGACAATAGCGATACACTTCAAAGCAATACAAAATATTAATAAATAACAAATAACAACAAACGTATGGTCTAAAACGAAATTAATGATAAAGAACCTGAAGTGGCCTCACTTACCCTATCAATGTCGTTTACAAAGATTGTTAAAAAAAGGTTTCTTAATGTAGTTGGAAAAACGCATTAAAACGCAGTGAATTCAAAACATTGTAAATATGTACTTACATACAAAAAAGTACAAATGACTGATCCGATCATACGATTTCGATAAAATTCCATATATGGTATTTTTTTCTCATTTTACAGACGTATACAAAAGTGTATGTGTTCAGGTAAAGTGACACTTCCGGTCAAGCGATTTCGCTGAAATTCAATATATCGTAATTTTTTGTTATTTATTAGATGTATGCGAAAGTATATGTTAGGCTATACATATCAAAAATGTAAGTTTATATGAAACGTTTGAAAATGTCTTCAGGTAAAGTGCCATTTCCAGTTGGTGGATTTGGTCCAAAAGTTGTTTACGAGCTTTCGTTGTTGGTTTAATAGCTATATACCAAATGTCATTACGGTAACTGATTGCGTTTTTAAGTTATCGTGTTTACACACATACATACGTACGTACGTACTTACATAAATACGCACAGACATTTTCTGGAAATAGATCAAAATGTAGAGGTCGAATTTCAATACTTTGTCTCATATATACCTATACATATTTCGTATATAGTGCGAGAAAGTAAGAATTAATTTACAATATTTTTGTTTGATATACTTTATAACAATAAAACTTCATAACTTTCACTTATTCTCGAATATTTTTAAATTAATTTGTTTTTTATTGTATTTAATTTTGTATTTTTAAAACTTCTTTCCTATTTATAGCAATTGAGATGTTATTTTAGTTTCTTATGATAACGAACGCGCATCAATTCAAACGATCGTTTAACACTTTTACACTTATATTGAGCAGCGTTATCGTTTCTTTTCAAAGACCAGCAGTCAGCCATCATTCTTTCATCCCATCTACCTTGATAGTGTCGCTCTTTTTTTTTTGAAATCCTGATGGAATCGTTCACCCATCTCTTCGCTGAAGGCTCCTACATTTTCCGGAAAGTAATCCAAATGGGAAAATAGGAAATGTAGCTTCAAACTCATTAAACAGCCTAATTTTTTAAAGTTTAATAACATTGTCGATACAATGTTTTTATATTGTTGATCCCGATGGTTGCCCAAGAAATTTTGTACAACTTCTTTGTAACTTAACCAAGCATTTTTTTCGTTATCTGTCATTCTTCTTATAAAATCGTCATCTTTCATTAAGTTTCTTATATCAGGCCCCACGAAGATACCTTCCTTAACTTTAGCATGACTTAAATTTGGAAATGCAGACTTAAGATATTTAAAACAGTTTCCATCAGTATTTAAGGCTTTTACGAATTGTTTCATCATGCCTAATTTGATGTGGAGTGGAGGTAACAAAATACGCTTTGTGTCAACAAGACTCTTGTAAACAACATTGTTGGAACCAACTTTCCAATCAAATCTTTCAGGCCACTTTTTTTTAATCCAATGTTGTTCTCGGGCGCGACTGTCCCAAATGCAGAGAAAGCAAGGATTTTTTGTATTTCCTGATTGTAAACCAACCAAAATATTGATCATTTTAAAGTAGTCACCACATATAAACCAGTTGTGGATGTTGTAATTGATTTTTTCGAGTACAAATTGAAGGTCTTCGTATGATTCTTTTCGCCTGGTGGAATGACCAATAGGGATTGCTGCGTATTTATTGCCGTTATGGAGCAACACTGCTTTAAGGCTTTCTTTAGAGGAATCTATAAAGAGCCGCCAGTCATCGGACTTATACACACCTACTTGATATGTATTGATAAGTCCTTCTATATCATTACAATAAACTAAGGAATTTTCACTAGAAAAATATTTCAGAAATTCCTCATCTCTTTTTCTGTACGCTGTAATTTTTGTTCCGGGTAACAACATGTTCCTCTCTTTAAGTCTGGAAGCCAATATTTCAGCTGAATCTTTAGAAAGACTAAGATCGCGAATAAGATCATCTAATGAATCTTGATCAAAAAGTTCAGGGTCTTTGGCACTAACAGAATCCTCATAATCACTGTCCTTTTCACTTTCAACAGAACTCATTTCTTCCAAACAACATTCATGTTTATTAGGTGGTACTTTGTCTAATCTCGCTATTTTTCCTTTCTTGGCTGGTGTTACGCTTTGTACGTTAGAATATAATATGTTTCCTTTATTTTTTTTATTATAACCTGTTATATCACAGGCACAGAAGTAACAGTCTTCATTGTGATCCTTAGGCTCATACCACATGGTTGGTGTAATGACAACTTCCTTTTTCATATCGTTCCAATTAATCAGAGTTAATCTACAAGTATTACAAATAGATGTAGGTACCCACGGTTTAACTAAATTTCTCATAGGTATGTTGTAACATTCTACAAATTTTTTTAATCCATTCATTAATGGTTCTGCGATAAGGACGTGTTTCGAAGTTTCCGCAAAAAAGTCACTAAAGAATAAGCTTTCCGCCTCATATTTTTTTATATTAATATTCCATCGTTTTAAAATTTTTTTGTAGAAAATCCAATATGGTTGTGATTTTCATCTTATAAAACGCTATAGAGCTTAAATAAAAAATAATATGTAAATTGTCTCTTTTTGAATGAATAAATCTCGTAAACAATCATTTTATTTTTGTAAATACTGCTATAGTTTTCCCATTAAAACTACAACTTTGCTAACAAACCAAATAAATTCATAAAAATTAACTGGATTTTGAATGTCCAGTTTCTCAATTGAATACCTCCTGGTTAAAAGATAAATGCATGGTTAAAAATTTCAACTTTAAAGCTTCATTTTTAGATATTTGATCACATTTTCGCATATTTGTTTTACTGTGCGTCAACATCGCTAACTTGATGTAACTCAACATCAGTTTATCAAGGACAGAGCAAACCGATGTACTTATTAATTTCAACAGATGATATCTCGAAGAAGAAAAAAGATATTTAAGTAATTGAAAAAGAGTTTTAAAGGGGAAGGGTAATAATTTCAAAACTTCTAAAAAAAATTGTTTTTTTTAACTCCCTCATGTGAACTATAACCACAAATACGACCAGAAACCGTATTTTTAACATATTTTGGCTAAGATATTTTGAAAACCTTACGTGATGAAGCATTTTTGAGGTTAAATTTGGATTTAGAACGTGAAAAACCTTCGGGATAGTATAGTCTACTTGTTGGTTTAGAAAACATTTAAATTTTTGTCGGCCTGTGTAATCTAGGGACTTTATCTATTTCATACTAGGATTGCCATCTGTAAATCGATATTCTAACTTATTAGCCGGAACGAAATTTTTTTTAATGAAGCACAATCTTAAGGAGTAGAGAAGAAGAAGTTAGAGAGTCGGGAGTTAGAGTAGAGACGTGGGTAAAGTGTGGGAGTGAAAAGTGGAATAGACTAAAAAATAAGAAAAGAAAACCAGGTGGCAATCAATTCAAAAAAAGAAAAGATTATATGTGTACTAGATAGAATTATTTACTGTTTTTTTCTTTTTATATTTGATTTGTGTCTAAAAGAAAATAAATTAAAGTATCGTCATTAATTAATTCAATGTTTTATTTATCTTTCGTATTTTGTTTTTTTTGACATCCGCCGCTTAATCCTTTCCCCCTTGTCTTTTGACACACTTCACCACGTTACGAGGCTCCTATAAAGAGTGGACCCGAGGAGAATACCCTTCTCCGAAAATATACTCGGGGGCCTCTTACCACCTCACGCTCGGGGGTGGTAACAGTATTATCTCTAGGGTAAACGCACCAGTGTTTGACCTGTTAAGGATTTTTTAATGTCAGTGTTTGACCGAGCCATATTATTTTTCTTGTAGATCCCTCTGCCTTTGCATATAATGGTCAAAATATGATCAAATACAGATCTGATTCATTTAAAGTTACTTACCCTACATATAAAACATAACATCATGAAGTAATATTTTTTTAAAATTAAAAAGGAAAACAGTATTTCGTATTTAGTGTTTAACCACTTTGATTACATTACTTGACCAATAATATCTAGTCTTTGATCTTAAAACCGTCAATGTTTGACCGATTCTTAATATAATATTCATTTTCATTATTTTTTCATACTATTTTGTTCACAAAAAAATGTTTATATTTTTTGACTTTTTAAGAACATCTTTTAAAACAGGAGCAAAATGCTCTTGAAAACCTCTATCTGCTGAATGAAACAACCATTTAACCAGCAGTTTTTCTTCATCAGAATTTAAAAATGCTGGTGGGTCCATTTTCCTCTGCACTGGTGTTTTTCCTTTTTCTTTATAAATAAGATTTTACTTTGGAACGTTAAACATCTTGGCTGCTTTTTCATCAGATAAACCCCTACTTCTTACATCGAGAGTCTTTTAAAGATCTTCTTCACTATTTTTAAACTTAGGTTTCGTTGTCATATTGGTACTGAAAAAATGTTTACCTGATTCATATTTGCTAAATTTTCCATATAGATTTTCCATTTTTTGATAATTGACCACTATAAGAGTCAACGTTTGACCAACCGTTTATCCTTTTAATTTTACACTGACTCATTACTGCTTAAGTGCGGTCAATTACTTTTATTGTTATAAAAAAGGTTTAAAAAAACATTTACACTTATATTTATATTACGCTTAAATATTTATAAAATTTAAAATCGGTTAAAAAACTCAGTTTTGAGTGTTTGTGACCGCATATTTAAACTGATTGTATCTCACTTTTAAAGTATAAAAGTTTTGGTCAAATACTAAACAACTTAAACGGGAAGATATAAATTTAAAAAACAGGTATTACACATTTTTCCATTTTATTAATCAAATATAAATCCCTGATCCTTGTGAGATTATAAAACAACCAATTCGTCTAGTATTTGACCGTTTGGTCAAACACTAATTTTTAAATAAATTTTATTTCAACAAATAATTAAATAAAGTGGTATTTTTTTAATATAACCAATAGAAAACTTAATTATTAGATCACTGGCAAACAAAAAAAAACATCATACATGCAAAAATGGCTGAATAGTACTACCCTGTTTGGGTGAATTTCTAAACATAAAAAGTACGTTTAGCACGATGCGAATAGGCCGGCAGTTAGCGCGAAATTAAACAAAAACTTAAGAACGTATGGTCGTGGACTTTTTGTGTACTAGGGGGTGGAGAGGAGACTGGTGGCTATTTATGGATATATTTATAATTTTTTAGATATTCCTTGGATCCTTATTTTTCACATTTTTTTACAAAAACGGTCAAACACCGACCAACGGTCAATTACTGGCGTTTTACCCTATATGTATATGGCTAAAAAAAAATTATATGCCTCGATTAACGATGAGAGGACAACAAGGAAAGTTGAAGAGCTCTGTGACATAAAGAAAAGAGCAGATCGAGAAAACGATGGGTGGATGTGGAAGATCATTTAGACTTAAACTTTTAATGGTGTAGCTCTCAGGGGCTAGTAAGTTAATTTCTGCATGAAAAGTTTTCTCCCTCGATAATACTTGTTAGCTGTTACAGCAATTTTTCCATTAATTATCAGATTTTTAGAAATTGAGATGGGAAATTGGAAAACATAAAATAAAAAAAAAAACAGAGTTAAAATAAAAGTACATTAAGCAAAATATAAAAGCAGCTAAAATGAAACTAGTTAAACTTTAAAATTACAAAAACAATTCCATTCGAAATATAACTACGGAACAAGATTATACCCGCGATATTAAACAAACAGAACACAATAATTTCATTTCTGTTTCATACAATAAAATTAATAATTACGATATTAACAAATATAAAAAATTTTCGAATTCTTCATTGTCCAATATCTATGTCTTAGAAATAATTTATTTCCTCGAACGTATTGAAATAATATTTTCAGTACTTCTAATAATGTTTCTATTGAAAGATATTTGAGGTGGACTATAATGTCCACATTCGTTCACAATTCGACATGTTGAAGCTGAAAGTTTCATTGATATATGATGATGCGTTCCGTTGGTATAAGAAAAGATCGATATGCGATTTTCGGAAAACATAGAGATCTTTCGATTTAACCGAATACATGTGGAACAATCATGAATTGACATGGTATCACGAACGAAAATTCTTAAACATTTTGATAAAACATTATCATCACGTAGCACCATTTCCAGTTTTGCTACGAGATTGATTCGCTCTATCACATTTAAGATTTCAGCTTTTGCTTTTATCGTCTGAATATCGCTAACAAACCGTTGATTACGTTAGAAAGTGTTATTGTTACGAAGAAAATAAAAAATACGAAAATTATTATGTCTAAAACTGAGCTTAAATTTCCGTCTTGTAATAACGATCCAGTATCAAGTTCGCCGGAAAACATCGCGATCACTTTAATATATGTTGAAATTGGATTATCAAAAAATGTTTCGTTTTTATGTTCAGTACTATTTTCGTATGATTTACGATAAATAATGTAAAATGCAAAAGTGAAGGCCACAAGTAAAATTGAAGCCCATAATACAAATTTAAAAAAATTCCACGAAACCGTTTTAAAAATGGAAACGTAAGTGGAAAAATGCAGAATTCGAGCAATTAAAAACATCATTTTAAGTGAAGACGAGAAAATAGCTGCGGCCAATATTTCATTATAATAACTTAAATCCGTTCTACCGATATCACTTAATAACGTATACCCTGTTGAAAACAATATAAAAAAATCTAAATAATTTTCAGGGTCCATTATGTAATCGTAAGTATGTAAGTACATTTGTAGAAATTCTTTTATGAGGAATATAACATAAGTAATGCTTAATAGATAGATAAAACCATAATTATTATCGGTATATCTTTCAGTACAAATATGACCGATTAAATAGGCCACAAACAACGAATGAAATACACAATTAATCCTAAATAACCGTTCCATTTTAAAACACTTAAGATAGAATATCGTCGAAATAAGCGGGTGATGTAATAAATGATGCAGTTTGGGATTTTTACCTATACGCAGGATTACTTCTGTTTCTGACGATTTAACAGAAAACAACGTTGTATAATCGAATGTTAAAACCTTCGATTCTTCCGATCATTCCTTTTTCAGGAATGATCGCCTTTTTATACAGCTATCTAAATGTTCTTCTAAATCCTCTGTGTAGATATTATCGATAGGCATAACTTCAACCTCATTTTTAATATCCAATCGAGCACCTCGTTTCAATAGAGTAATAATCGTCTCTAGATTCGCGTATTTTGCGGCGTAATGCATCGGAGTATATCGGAGTTTAAATTTCCGTTTTCGGATGCGATGTACAATGGATTATTATTTTCAAGGATTGGTTTGATTCCTTTTAGTACCAAAAATATTATGATTTCTGTCAAATTTCCATCACAAGCCAAACGAAAACAACCATCACTATCAAAATTATCTCTAACATCCGCTTCGTTTGATAGAAAATAATCTATAAATCTTTGTTCTTTACGTGACCGTATGAGAGCTTTTAAGTTGTGCTGAATGAGATTTATTTCATTAATTGATTCTTTGCTGCTATAGTGGTCAAATACTTGATTTGGAAAATCTTGATCTCTCGCTATGGGTAGAAGCTCTATAGCGGATACATCTGAGATGGAACTACTTTCAGAAGTCATTTTTACCTGAAAAAAAATGCATGAATTATAAAAAATATATAGTATATGAGAATTATTCATAAAAATATAGATTTGTGTAATCAAATTCAACGTGGAGCTAGCAAAGATTATCATCCGTAAAAAGATACACGTAACCCTTACGCCCAAAAGCTAATTCGAACCTTGGACGCTATTACCAAGATATGGCTTATTATGGAGACAACATTCTGAACGCGTAGCACAACGCATCTATCGCCAAGCGATCCTAGAGGTATTAGCATATATAAAGTGAAACAAAAGTTTAGAGCCTTAAAAAATGTTGGTATGAGCTTTTGGTACTGTTAAGTTAACAACAGAACAGATTTTAAACACTTAATTTAGTGGGATTATCCATTTTAGCGATTCAGTTGTTATAAATAAATTTATTATGGGGCATAGCATATTTTATTACTAATTAAATTATTAATTATTACGAAATTATTAAGAAAGCTGATAAGATATGTCAACTTATTTGGATCCAAGATACAAAATGAGCTTTTTTGATGGTGATTTAACTAACGAAGCAACTCTAAAAAGAGCATATTTTAATTAATAATTGGCGATATTTCCACAAGGATCCTTCAAGAAATTAATTCTATAGCGAATTTTGCAAGTTATCGATGAAAATAGCAACAGTAGGTAGAAAATGACGACACTTCTGACGTCACAGCATGGCATGAGGATACTTCTGACGTCAGAGCCCCTCCAAGCCCCCACCCCGCAGGGTGGGGTTAGGATGAGCGTTGACGAAAGTAGTCCCCCACCCCACGCCACCACACGTGACCAATAGAAGTGCCCCCATTTTCAGAGAGAGAGAGAGAGAGAGAGAGTGACTTACCACACCACCAACACCGCCGAAACTAGCTTTTTTCACTAGCGCCGAAATTTCTATAACAATAAAAAATAAAAAATAAGATATAATAATACTAGGGTGAGAAAAAAATATTGCTTACCATTGATAGCATCTAAAAATCGATATCAAATACTTCGATGAAGGGTGAAACTGGGGGAGGAGGTTGTTCTGAGGGAGATACAGGACTATCTCTCCAATCTTGTCCTTGAGGGTAGTATAGCGTGCTTTCGCTTCCATTCCCCTCATCCTCATCCTCCTCATCATCATCCTCCTCCTCCTCCTCCTCCTCCTCCTCTTCCTCCTCCTCTTCACTATCGGTATTCATGTACATGATTTCTATATCAATAAAAAATAAAAAAATAAGAGATAATTATAGTAAGATGAAAATATATTGTTTACCGTTCGATGCTATCGGTATCAGCGGTGGTGGTGGAGGTGAATCCTCTACATAAATTATTTCTATAACATCAAAAAATGAAAAAAAAATAGGGTATAATAATAGTAAAACGAGAAAAATATTGCTCACCGTTTGGTGTCGCCGCCACCGTTGCTGCTGCCCTTCTCATCATCATCACAACATAAACAGCAACTGTGCTTTCGAAAAAAAAACATGAAAACATTGTGTAAATTTTTAAAAATAAGTTTTTCTTCAAACGTCATTAAATGACAACTTTGTTGTCGTGTTTACTCGCGGTAGAAGTAAGTCATTGTTGCATAACGACGGTTGCTAAGATCAACATAGCAAAAAAGTACTTCAGCGTTATGGCGCTAAAGTAAATTTCACTTTAGCGCCATAACGTTGAAGAACATTTCACTTTAGCGCCGTATTATTTGCAACGTTTGAAGAAAAAATACTATGTTTTATTCGGAAGAGAAGCAGATTCGTTTGTGGCTGGTCCGTCATTGCCGGACTCACTTCGTTCGTCCGGCAAACTGTCGGACACGCCACGTCATTAGCGACTCACTGCGTTCGTCGCTAAGCGACAGACCACGCCATAAAAAGCACTGCTTCTCTTCCATATAAAACAATATACTATTATATTATTAATATATACTTTAAATTTAAGAAAATAAAAAAAACTTATTTCCGCTATATATTTTATTTTATTATTAATTTAGCTATAAAAACCAAGTTCATTCGCGTCTAAAAAATTATCTTTTTCGCATAATTTTTTCCTAGTGTTAATTAAGCGCTCATCGTTGTTGTTGTTGTTGTTGTTGTAGTGCGGCAGTAGTAGTAGTAGTAGTAGTAAAGTCTGGTGTAGGGGAATAATGAGAGTTCTGCAGCGGAAGTATTCCTTCATTCCTTCGTGACGTCACACGGGCCTGTGTTGTTGGTTGCCTGCCTCGTGCGACGCCACCTAGCGGTGGGTGGTGGAACTAAAAGGGTGTGGTTGGCCTGATAAACTATAGATGGCGGTCGCAGCGCCCTCTGGTGTCGGGTAGTGAAATTGCAAAAGGGAATCTACGAGCTGAGCTATTAAAATGGCGACGTATACACCACTTTTGAAAGCTGGAGGGCGTGTTAAAATTATAAAATTTAAATTGAAAAAAATGAAGACTTAAGGGAAGGGGTAAATTATTGAATTGAATAATTAAGAAATAAAAAATGTTTCAGAAGGGTGGGAGTTGAACTCTAAGATGAATAAACCATACTTACCTGCGTAAATTGAACTCTAAGATGAATAGCTCACTGAGCTACTGAAACACTTTGCTAATTTTACCGTTAAAGTTAGTATTATAATTGAAAAAAACAATAAAAAACAATGTAAGTTTAACACATATATTAAAATAATAATAATATAAAGTACTTAATGGGATACAAATTCGAAATCCATCATTGGATTAGCCTTTCCAATGTCCATATAACCGTTCAATCTTAACCCAACGCCATACGAATCGTCAGCTGAATTTACAAGTTCAATAAATTCATCATCCACCATGTTAAGATAGCGTTTCGGTAGAAATACAATATTTTCTTCCAGCTCTACCAGCAGTGCA